GAAAAGGACTTGGGAGTGCTGGTGGATGAGAAGCTCAACATGAGCCGGCAATGTGCATTGGCAGCCCAGAAAGCCAACCGTATCCTGGGCTGCATCCAAAGCAATGTGGCCAGCAGGTCGAGGAAGATGATTCTGCCCCTCTACTCAGCTCTCGTGAGACCCCACCTGCAGTGCTGCGTTCAGCTCTGGGGCCCTCAAGGAGGGCTGGAGCAGGAGCAAAGGAGGCCACGAAAATGATCCGAGGGCTGGAACACCTCTGCTATGGAGACAGGCTGAAAGAGTTGGGGCTGTTCAGCCTAGAGAAGAGAAGGCTCCGGGGTGATCTTATAGCAGCCTTCCAGTACTTAAAGGGGGCCTACAGGAAAACTGGAGAGGGGCTTTTTACAAGGGTATATGGTGACAGGACAAGAGGCAATGGATTTAAACTGGAAGAGGGCAGATTTAGGCTAGATCTAAGGAAGAAATTCTTCACTCTGAGGGTGGTGAGGCACTGGCACAGGTTGCCCAGAGAAGTTGTGGCTGCCCCATCCCTGTAAGTGTTCAAGGCCAGGTTGGATGAGGCTTTAAGCAACCTGGTGTAGTGGAGGATGTCCCTGCCCATGGCAGGGGGGCTGGAACTAGATGATCTTTGAGGTCCCTTCCAACCCAAACCGTTCTATGATTCTATGATCTAAATTTAACTTTTAAAACAATTAACTGTCATGCTACAGAAGGCAATCTTCTTGCTGTGGCTCATGTACTCAGTATCAAGCATTCCCAAGTTAAACATTTTTATGCAAATTCATAGCTGAAGTTGCAGTAAATGAGTTAGCTCAAGAAATTGTCACAGCAGACACTACTGGAAATAACTTTCTTTTCATTACTTATTTGCTGTTCCATTTGTGTTAGATCTGTGTGCTATTAGGCAATGTTCTCAGTGCAGAGAAACTTGCAGTCCAGGTGTCATCCTCTGACATCATCCTTCCTGCAATGTAGCCATGCCTGACTACGTGATGTGGGGTAACAGCAAAGAAAAAGCAGCAGCAGGACTGAAGGCAGCATCAGGGTCACCTACTGACCCCAAGCTACTACACAAACACTGCTAAGACAATTACTAGAAAACCAACAAGGCTTAGCACGGGCTTTTCAGAAGGATTCCCTCAAGCACATGTGGTACCTGGCTTTTAACTGGTGTTTCCAGCACAGTGACTGGCAACAGATAAGTGCTTAGTATTTATTAACCCCAGAAGCTCAAAGTCCCCATCTTGTTCTCTAAGTTCAAGAGCATGAATGCAATAGCATCACACTTATCTCAAACAAAAGGGAATCAAGAGCATTCCAATCTGAGAAAATGAAATCTGTCTTGTCTTGACAGTCCCCTACCTTCCGCTCCTTCTTTCTATATAATAAGAAGTTTGCTCAAGAAGAGAAAGATGCAGGGTGATCAGCTTTAAAAAACAGAGTGCAAACAGCAAATAACACAGGGATTAACAGCAAGCATACACAACCTGATCCAACTTTGAAGTCAGCCTTGCATTGAAGAAGGAGGTAAAGATCAGATGACCTCCAGAGGTCCCTTTCAATCTAAATTCACTCTAACAGTGGAAAATGCACAAAGCCCCTTCCACTTTGCTTTTCCATGCTTAAGAGATCTGTACCTTATGTTGCAGGATCTGAACGTTCTGAACAAGAAAGCGATATGCATTGTACCAGGGCAGGAAGACATCCTTCAGTATGTCCCTTACTCCTTCTTCCTTAAACCTCAGATTTTCTGCTTTGACCACAGGAGAATTGATCAGGTACAGCCTGCAAAATAGGAACACAGTACTCCAAAGCTTAAAACTGCACATAGTGATAGAAATGCACTTAAACATACATTAAACCCTAGAGAGCTGCACAGCAAGAGATTATTTTTATGATACTGTGTAAGGAATTTGAATTAGAATTTAAATTTTCTTTTTTACTCTAGAAGTTAACAGAAGTGGTAACACATGCTCAGATGCTATCACAGTATAAATCACGCAGTGGACGCAGGGAATTACGCGCTCCTCTTTAGAAGGGCACCTATTGTTTTGGCAGCATTTTGAATTCTTTAACACTGACACAGTACCTTCCTACTCAATGCAGTTAATTTCCTCAGTTATAGACAACTTCGGGCCCATTGCCAACACAGGACTAAGGAGCTAGACAAACAGGTAAATCAGAGTAAAAGAGAAAAAGGTTTTCAAGAAAAACAGCCCAAGAAGAGGACAAAGGATGTACCTCCTACCAATACCAACATGCTTCACGCCCAGAAATAGCTCTGAAAGAGCACAGCAGAGGATGCAGGTGGTGCTGACCACTGCTAGCAGAAGCGGCTGCTCACAGAATCACGCCTGCCTCAGCCACCAGTGTCCACCTACACAGGACATTCACCCTGTCCAGAGAGATCCTTCTTGGGTCAGTCTCTCTCAAGCAACAGTTTCAGAGAGACAGGCATGTCCCCCAGCTTCCTCGCTGCCTGCGAGTTCACAAAAATAAATCACTTTTATACTTTATCCCATTTTATTCCCTAAACAAATATTCTGTCTACAGACACAAACTGGGATCTATCAAGTCAACTCAAGAAGAAACCAGGCCTTACTCAGGTATCAAATAACTTGAATACGAACTTGATTTAGATACACTTCATTTAATTTTCCAACTATAAAAACCGAATGAAACATTTTTTATTTTAACAATTGTGGCATTTCTCAATAGAAATTTATTAACTAATTTTCTCACATTTTCTCAACTTTTAAAATCATTATTCTAAACTTACAGGCACTTCCTTTAGGAAGCTTTAAAACCTTAATGGGGTTTGACACAGCACATTCAAGAATACCAGACCATAGATTCTAAATGAGAGGGCTTTTTGCATAAAAATGAATACATAGAAATAGGGCTGCCAGAATAAACAGACAGTAATGCAGCACAGAAATGGTCATTTTCAGTACTGTATTGAGAAGAAAAAACACAAAAAAAATTTAAATATGGTATCTGAATTCAAGTTATAAATTTACAAATACACAATTGAACAATTAAGCACGATAATAAACTAGTAAGTTCTTAAATGAAACTGGAATTTATAAATATATACTTAAGCCAAATCTCTCATCACAATTATTTCTGTGCTTATTATTTATTTCAGAAGTCAAACATAACTTTGCTCTGGATACAAGAGCTAGCCCAGCCTTAGGGTACACCAGAATACTCCAGGCCTTTTACCAGTTTTGGACTTTCCTAGAACGATAACCACTCCAAATTGCCTCCACTGAGGCGGCAGTGAAGCAAACTATTCAGAACCATGAAGGACAGACTAAATTTGCACCCACCTCAGCAGCACTTGCTGCAGAATCTATCAGAAGTCTTAAAGTAGCTCTCTTAGGATGAGAAATTAAAGGAAATGTAGCTCTCCAAGGCTACAGTTTTGGGTTTTTTTGGGGTTTGTTTTTGGTTTTTTTTTATTATAGCAGCCCTACACTGACTTATAATATGTAAGTGTTAAAATAGTACTAATTTCTTAAATTATTCCAATGCAAAGATACTTACATCTATTACATGCAAAGAGAAATAAGGACCTGATAAAGGAAGATTTCTATCATTTTAGTCACACCTCGTGGTATTACCCATTGAGCAGAAAATAAAACCTTCTTCGATTCAAGCCAGTATTATCAAGTTTTCCAACAATGTATGAAAAACAATAAAGTAACCTCCTTTTCATCTCTCGCAACCAGCAGACTGTTGCATTACCTTATTTCTTCTGCATTTTAAGATCAGATTGAGAGGAGAACATACCACATCACTTCTAACAGCAGTACTTACCTCAGGATACATGAAAACAAAGGGCTTGCAGATATTGCGACCAGCAAAGTCTCTTTCTGACACCCTTCAACACCTATCCAACCTGAGTCATAGGTCTTAGGAATATCAAAATATAACTGGATTTGACAATTCTTACAGATTTCACACGGGATTCAAGTTTCAAGAAGTCTTAAGTTGGGTTGTTAAATTTACTGTGCAGTTGTTTCTTCTGTTTGCCCTTTCCATTCAATTCCATATTCATTTAAACAACTTACACCTATATTTTCCGCTGATCTATTTATCAAGCTACTGCCGAGAACACTTCAAAGCTGTAGTTAAAGAAAAACACATGTATGTTCTGCAAAAGCTAAAGCAACTCTGCAGGGAAACGGTGCCAAGGAAAAAGCCTCAGTTGTAGCTTTTTCTATAAACAGAACACATCGAGCACCTCGGTGAATAAGCAGAGACAACGGAATCGCAGAGCTCCTTCCATCAACGGCCCGGTCTGCAACGCTTTCTACGCTCTATGTGGGTGTATGGATAAATAAATGGGACATTAAAGAATGAGCACACAGGCAGAAAAATGAACTCGCGTTTTAGAAATCAAAAAATCATGAATAATGGAAATGTAACTTCTGGTGTTTGAGATTTTTGGCTCTGTTTTATAAAAAAAGGCAGAATTTTTCCAATTGAAACATCACCTGCAATTTAAAAATCTCCAACATGAGGAACTCCAACCCTTTTTACTCATGTTGTTTCAGCTACCAATTCGCTGATATTCTGCTAATACCTCTTGATTATTTGTAAAGAATAATCTTGATGAAACTTAAGAACTCCACCCTACGCTCCATTGTAAACATATGAGAAGATTATTTACTACGTCTTTTAAATGCTAAAGCTTGAAACAATAAGGAACTTCACATCCATTTTTTAAAATTATCTAGAGCAAGCAACAACCATCATCTCAAACAAACGAAAAACCACGGTACCCTAATCTTTCCTTCAGCCCAACCACCACTGTGTATAGTTGTATCACACAATTCCATGTGTGTGGTAGCTTAAGGTTTTCTTACATGGAGCAAGAATTACAGGGCCCCTGAGAAAAACACCAGTAGTGCACTCCTGCAGTTACTCAACGTCTTGATCGTACCTTTACCTCAACGTACCACGTCGTGCACGCAGTTAGTGCATCTAGCCAAACTACCAGGCAACTGCATAATTATGTTCATATGTTTGTGTAATCTTAATAGAACACTAGAACTATGTTTAATCTCTACTTGACCAAGACAATTTATATATACACACACATTAGGCTGATCCGCTTTTACTTTTCTGGTTTCACTACTATTAGGTACATACTGTATACTCACATCAACAATAAAGAAACGCTTTCTCTTTAGAAAATGTAAAGTATAAGCAGCCGACAAACATTTCTGTGCATTATATATCCTTCCCTAAAATAATGACTTAACAGTAAACTAACAGCATTGTTCTCAAAGACTGAGTTTTCACTGGGTCAGCTGAGACTATGAACTGCAATAGCAGACAGAGCTGGCTCAAGTGGAAGCACTCTGTACAAACATTTTCTGAAAAAAGGCCTCCGGTCAGCACGTCAGCTCTGGTTGTAACCAGTCTTGAAGGTGATAAGACAAGGGTATAGAAAGTCCAGGCACTGTAACTACTGCCAGTTCTTTTGAGTCATCCACTCTTTCAGCTATTTGGCTGCCATAGTGGTCTAGGAGTTTCCAAAATTAACTTTCATCCTATTGCTAATTGTCAAAAACCCATAAGCAGCCCGTCTGCTGTGAACAGAAAGCTAACATATCAGATTGTACATTCATTAAAGAAATCCTACCTTAATGCATCAGCTCCGTAACTATTTACAATACTCATTGGATCAGGATAATTCTTCTTCCTTTTGCTCATTTTTTGGCCATCGCTAGAAAACAGCAGAATATGGGCATAAATTCTCAGAATTCTTGGAATATATGGATTAAAAAAAAATAAAAGGCCCTTCAAATCCAACTTAATTTTTCTGTTCTACTATGTTCTCAGTAGCATAGACATAATTATATATTAGCACACTATTTCAGTTGACT